GTTTTAAATTATAGTGATAGGCTTTTAGTACGGATTTTGTATTCTGGCTTTTAACAGTTTATCTACATGCACAGAATATGTTCGTTACTACAAAAACTTTATTATCTTGAATCCTAATGGCTGTATAATGTTTCTGAAGTATTCATTTTTAAAAACTTCCTATATTTTTAACTGAAGCTTACTTTTAAAGTGTCAAGTCAAAATGCCACTCAGATTCTACTACGTTTGTTACTTAGACTGGGTGAACAATTAGACCTGATTCAACCTAGGAATACTTAAAATATTGAAAGTGTTAATAAATTTGTATCATTGTCTGTAGAACATGTTTCTCTATTGTGAGAAATAAACTTTGGCTACCTCCTGACCACTGGTATTTTTATTTTGTGGTTTTTGTTCTAAACCACAGGTCTCCAGCCATGGTGGGGTGATTAAGTGGTAAGAAGTAGGAAAGATGAAGGAATTGAAGGTGTTTTTGTATATAGATTTAGATTTTGATATCTGCTGTAGAGCAACATTAAACCTAAAGTCCCTGGCTCACTCTGGCACAAGTAGAGTATACATGTTGACTTTACTATTCAGAATTTAGTTAAATTTTAGGCATTTTAGTAGTATAGATTAGAAGTAAAAAGAAAAATATTCTCTAACATCCTCTCCACTTAAACTTTTTATTAGGCTTTCATAAGTTTCCTTTTTGATATATAAAGTAACTGCAGAATGTCTCTGCATAGGCTATAATGCCTTAAGCCTAACCAACCAAAAGTTGTTTGTACCTCTGCATCTTTTAATTAAATGAAAAATAAAATTTAAGGGCTTTGGGATTTCCAAAGAGCGCTCAGTACAGCCTTCCAAACCTCAGACTCCTAAGCCTGACATTGAGTTAACTCTGCCTTCTTTGAATGAGCATGTAAATAGTTAATTATTTTTTTACTTTCTAGAACTCAGCAAAAATAAACTAAATAGAATAAGCTTCAAAAGATTTAAGGCATTGTGGCCTTTGCATAAGATCCTAAAAGAATAAAAATCTGATGCCCAGTGTACATAGAGACTTGTGACGTGTTTAAGCTGAGGTGGATTCTAAATCTAGTTGAATGTTTTTATTTGCTAGTATAGGAACTGAGCCCAAGCAAGTCTTGGGCTTGCTTAGAAGCCCAAAATTACATGATCACTTGGGAGAACTAGGACTGGGCTCTCCTAAATACCAAGTCCAGGCTCAGTTTATTACCATGGACCCGCCTCCCTAGAGAGCCTCTAGGATCTCTTCTCTGGCCTCTTTAGCAATTCAAGTTAAACTCTTCCTCAGGGTTCCTTGTCATTGGAACAGGAAAATTTATGGGATGTTTTACTCAAATCTCTTTTTATACACACCCTTAAAAGATGACCTGAATACCTGAATACCTTCACATACATTCTGGTTCTCTGACAATTGAGATATCCAAAACAGGGAAAAGTCGTGCCAAAAAAATAATTCTGTATTGTAAAGGTGCCTGCTTCGACTCAAGTAAATCTGGAAGCTGCCTTGGGAAATCTGGCTTCAGTTACATATCCAGAGTTACATAAGCCCTCAGAGCATATGGTGACTTTGCCAACTTGGTAATTGTATCCTAGTTAGTTAGTATCTCAACTTGTGATGATGCTTCCATTTAAATATTGAAATTTCTGTTTCTTCCCTTTGAAAACCAGTATTCTGAATTATGCTAGATGTTTTCTGTTGGGTAAATATTTCTCGCAGTATAGAACAAGGCCTCTTACTTAACATTAGTATCCCACCACAGTGATCAATACCTCTTCCTAGTGATGTTTTCTGGCTTAAAAGTTGACCAAATTCGAAAGGGTTTCCAGTATGTTGGGGTATTTTTTTCTCCTAATAGGCAAATTACATAGTAGAATTTTTACTTACTGAAGTCCTCTCTAGCAATTAGGAGAAGATTGAAGTGTATCAGTAGCTCTTTAGCACAATTATTTATAGTCATATTTCTGATAATAAGTAAAATTATTTAATATTTTATAAGCTTAATGTGAGTAGGTATGTCTAGGTCTCTCAGCATTCCTACTAGAGGTATTGATCATGATCTCATGTTATATACTTAGAAGAAGTTTGTGCTTGTCTTGAATTTGCATTATTGACATCTTCACGTTCAGGTGAGAACTAACACAGAACCTCTATACATGCACAGCACCGAGATTCTGTCAAGGACTGTTAATATTTAGCAATTTGAGGGCTTCCAAGGGCTAGGAGTTTCAATAAAAGCACTTTTTTTTTTGCAATTAGTTTATTTGTATCTTATATTGCAGACAGATTCCACCAACGGGGAGAATCCAAGCATCAAGAAATCCCTCTTTCCTCTTTTTAATTCAAAGAATCATTTAAAGCATAGTTCTTCTTTGAAAAAGCTTCCTGTAGTCACTCCACCCATGGTACCCGTTTTTATGTATGGTAGCCCTGAAAACTGCTCCAGTAAACTTGTTTTACTGATGACAACAGCATGTCTTATTTTCATGAGGTCATATTCTCTTTATGCTAGTTAAGTACGTGAGCCAGTTCCATAAATTCACTGGGATATAAATTTGTTGCCATTCTTCTGAATCAGTTAGGAAGTTGAAGCATAAATTCTGTGAAGCAAACAAACTAGTGAAAGGCTAGTTTGTCTTGTGTGATTAGCCAATTATTGGCAGATAACATTTATAAAAGCCTGTATTTTATGTAAGGAATTCTATTAAATTTACAGTTAACAAATGTCTTTGCATTTGACTCACAGTTTGTTAACACTTAATTGGCAATTTGTCTTTTTGAAGCCAAGTCGAATTGACCAAATTGAATGAGGTAACAGGCTCCATGAAAAAACAGCTTGTTTCCTTGCCTGGCTTGAGCTTTTGCTGGTCACTTAGTTTAAAACCAGGGCTTTTGCTTGGCATTCGACATTACTCTTCTCTGTTCACCAAAACTGGTGAATAGACCAATTGCATTCATCTGGAACTTGTGGCACAAATTTCCAGCATTTTCTTAGTACATAATGCTAGATCCAGATTTACCAGACAATGGTTTGGGAATATGATCTAAACCATACTTTCTCACTTTGCTATCCTTGAAAGCCTACCAGACTTCTTTGGCACTACCAAGTACATTGTTTGGATCATTTTCCCAGCAGGAAAAAAAATTGTTTTATTGAACTGGTTCATAACCTAACTGCAATATGGAATGAGGATACGACAGCAATTCCTGGTACAACCCAATTTAACTGCTCTCTCTTACAGCGTCTAAAACTAACAGCATGGGAATGCTTTAAGGGTTGAGGTTTAACAAAGCTGCATGACATCTGCCAATTTTTCCTAATGCAGGGAAAATTATTAAGAGGGCAGAAGAATTTAACTAGCATCACTTGCATTGTGAACATTGGGAGAGATTGGGGTTCTTTTTTTACTGGGTTATTTGAGTTTTGGTTTGGTTTGCTTTTTAGTTTGGTTCTTCTCTTGGGTGTGGTTACATATCTTAATTAGGCTTGTTAGTGGACTTATTGAATGCTTGTCCATATTTCGCTCTAGGTACCCAATTCCGACAGCCCTGATCTTCTAACGTTGCAGAAATCCATTCATTCTACTAGCACTCCAAGCAGCAGACCAAAGGAGTGGCGCCCCGAGAAGATCTCAGATCTACAGACCCAAGTAAGTAGATCCTGCACTACTCCTAGACTCTCCAACTCTGCACTAACTGTCCTGAGGAATTGGGAGGGCATGGTAGAGGAAACTTAACCTCTCAATGTTACAGTAAGGCTAAGCGCCTCCTCAAAATAGACCCTCAGTTATAGCCAGATGCATCTTGTGAGCCAGAATGAATCTTGCTTCAATGACCTATGTTCTACTGGGAAAAATGCAAGCTCCCTTTAGCCTTCACCTAGCTGGAGGCAATTGAAGATGTAGTACCAGCCCACAAATACAGCCCAGGAAAGAGATGAACTGTGCTAAAGAACCATAATTCATGGTAAAAAGTGAAGCATGCCATAACATTTCAGGCAGGATGAGCAGAGATGGTGGGAAGATTATGGTTTCATTAAAAGTAGTAGCGTACAAATTGAAAGGTATGATAAGTTTTCTTGAAAGAATATTTTAACTCCTGAAATCTATGCTATTTTTGACAGGAAACAGGTAAACAGTTGCATTAGGAACTACATAGTAGACTGTACTATGTAGTTACATTTATCTTCCATAGTGGAGGAATAAGCAGAAACTGAATCAGTAAATTTTTCAGGTATCTGAGGTTTATCTCCTTTAAACAACTATTTTGGTTGGGAATTTTATAATATTATATCTTTTCAGTATCCCATAATGAGCATTTTGGTTTTTGATATTGAGTATTTTATAAATCCTTTATTCTTCTGCACTATAATTTCTGACAATCCTCCAAAGCTTTTGAAGCTATAGGATTACTTATGTCTATGATTTCTTGTGTCACAGATTTCTGTGATTGGGGAGGGGACTACTTTGTTGTTGAGATAGGGTCTCACTCCCATTGCCCAGGCTAGAATGCAGTGGCACAAACTCAGTTCACTGCATCGTTGACCTCCCTGTGCTTAGGCAATCCTCCCACCTCAGCATCCCAAGTAGCTGGGACTACAGATGTGTGCCACCACACCTGGCTAATTTTTTGAATTTTTAGTAGAGACGGGGTTTCGCCATGTTGCCCAGGCTGTCTCCAACTCCTGGGCTCGAGCGATCCACCTGCTTCTGCCTCGCAAAGTGCTAGAATTACAGGCATGAGCCACTGTGCCCAACCTCTGTTTACTCTTTTGTAACCGTAAGCTGTTGCATAGAACTGCTCACAGAAGTTCCCCATATTCCCATTCTATTTGCCCCAACCATTCATATATTCTGCTTCTAACATAATATAAGCGGGGGGTGGTGGAAGCATAGAGAACCAGATATCCAAGTTTATTGGATATATATCCAAACTATGGAGACAAGCCTCTGCTTCTTTGTTCCCAATTTAAAAAAAANAATAGAGAGCTTTAGAACTTTCTTTGTGAAACCATTTCTTTTGCCAAGAAGCTCTTGATCACTCAGGCTTCATCACTCAGGCTGGAGTGCAGTGGCAAGATTATGGCTTACTGCAGCCTTGACCTCCTGGGCTCAAGCCATTCTCCCACCTCAGTCTCCAGAGTAACTGAAACAACAGGCACACACCACCATCCATGGCTAGTTTTTTGTTTTTGTAGAGATGGGGTCTTGCCTGGTTGCCCTGGCTAGAAGCTATTTTCAAGTAACTTTATTTCTCTTGCTGAATGCAGATTATTGTAATTGCTTGATAGCTACATGTGGTCAAGGCTATAATAATCACCAGGAGTTTCATTGTGTTATACAATTTAATTATTTTTAAAAAGCCACTTTTGAGCACTTAGAGTGTACAGTGTACTGTGCTGTCTTCTCTAGGGAGCACAAAGCTTTCTTGGAGAGACTTCGGAATGAAGATGGAGAATACTTTCCCCTAAAACAATATCTGCTTGAGTCAGTTCTGAAGCCATTTACCTTGGGTTTCAGTGCTTAGTTCCTTCAGATCTTGTAGATTGTCAATATTTTATTCAAACTTTGCTGAGCCCTTAAATGCATGTCCCTTATACCATGACACTTACAGCAAAGGTACTCTGAGGATTGGCCCCAGAGGGGTCCCAAGGCTAGGGTTGTAGCCCAAGTGGCTGAGTCCAGCAGTCATGATTGGCTGTGAATTTCCAAGTGCTTGCCATGTCTCTTCTGAGATCAAGGAAGAGGAGATTGAGCCGTCCTTCAACGTTGAGGAGCATGAGGCTCAGGAGTTGGCCAGTGAGCAGACCGCTACGAGGCTCCTGCCCTCTGCCCTGAAGTCAGTCTCCCTACATGATGCTGTACCTGGGGGTGTCCAGCTACACAGTAGACAGGCAGGCAGGGTGGACCACTGCAAGCCCATGTTAGCAATTGAAGGTCTCCTGTGAATGAATTCTTTAGATAGTTATATTGGGGTTTTGCATGTTGCTCTGTGCTTTGCATTTTTAATGCCCAAATGTTACCCTCCCCCTCTCAAAACAAAAAGTGCAGCAAGGGAGCATTTGAATTTTGCAATATCGAGAGAGGTAAGTCAGGGAGATAAGAACAGAAAGGGTTATACAACTTGTAGCCGAGTATGTTGCTAACTAAAACATTCCATATTTTCACCTTGTCTTGCTGCTAGGTATGGCTGTGTACCTAAGTTGTAGCTGGTAAAATACAAGTGGAAGCATTGTGTGGAGCCTTTGGGAAGTCTTCTCAAAACAGAGAAGCATACACTTTCTTTTGCTCTTTCTCCTTCCTGCTGGTTGAAGCATGAGATCCCCTGGTTAGAGATAGGATGCAACCAGGTAAATGAGCCTGGGCGTTTGACTGGCTGGTGTACCAGCTCTGTATGTCTTGTCTAGATTTCTAGGTTTTTCCATTAAAGACTAATACAATCTTGTTTGAAGAAAACCAGAAGCACAGATATGGCTGGACTGTCTCCACCTCGCACAAGCTTGCCCTTCCTGGCCACGCCCAGTCACCTCAGATCTAAGCCCCCTTCCCTCCCAGCCTTATGGTCGCTCTAACTTGAATCCCGTGTGTATTCTCATCCTTGCTTTCAGAGCCAGCCATTAAAATCACTGCGCAAGTTGTTACATCTGTCTTCCACCTCGAATCACCCGGCTTCCTCAGATCCCCGCTTCCAGCCCTTAACAGCTCAACAAACCAAAAATTCCTTCTCAGAAATTCGGATTCACCCCTTGAGCCAGGCCTCTGGCGGGAGCAGCAACATCCGGCAGGAGCCAGCACCGAAGGGCAGGCCAGCCCTCCAGCTGCCAGGTCAGATGGATCCTGGTTGGCACGTGTCCTCTGTGACCAGGAGTGCCACAGAGGGCCCTTCCTACTCTGAACAGCTGGGTGCCAAGAGTGGGCCAAATGGGCACCCCTATAACAGAACAAATCGATCACGAATGCCAAATCTGAATGATTTAAAAGAGACAGCCTTGTAATTTGTGCTGGTGTGGGGAGGGGTGGGCAGGCAAGCGAGTGGGGAGGGGTGGGGAAGGGTGGGCTGGGCTTGGGGCATGGGCCGGGCCAGGTGGTGAGCCAATATTTTCAGCTTTATGAAGGTGTGTGCAATATGCATGTGTGGGGCTGTCGAGCTCCTTGCGGCCACAAACGCTAGTCAGGGATCTTAGAGCCACAGGAGTTCCTTAGGGATCGCCACTCCCCACAGGTCTGTGTGAGAATGGATAGAGTGTGCCATTGAGGAAGAAGAAATTCTTTCCAGTTTCTCCCCCTTACATTCCAGCTTTAGTGCAATCTCTGTTGAACTTGGGAACGCCAGGATGTGTCCTGGCACTGCAAGGGATAGGAAAGTCGTGTTGACCGATGCCCTTACTACATATTTTTTTCTGCCTAGACTAAATGTGGGGTTTATTGTAATCTAAGAGTATCCCTTTGAAGGGTTAGCAGATGAACTGTATGTCTTAAATTGTTTTCTAAACTTCCATATTTGATAGGATTTGTAACATTTATTTATAATTAATATTGTACTGTTATAATCATATCTTTTATGTTATAATGTAAAGTTATTTTGAGCTGTTTGAAACATTGTGAAGCAGTGGGACAGCTACGGTAGTTTCTATAAAAACTAAACAGTAACATTTATATATTGCATCAGGAGTATTTTATTCTATATATAAATATATATATGGTAAATATCTGTTTTATAAATATATTCATTTAAAGAAAGTATCGTTATGACACTATCTGCCATATTTTTATACATTTGTGATATGAAGTGAGTATTATACTTCTAATAAAGGGAGTTGAATTGTGGCTACATGTGACTGTAACAGTATGAACTTTGCTCAACTTTTAGGCCCCAGCAGTAGCCTCTAGACATGATCCTTGGTAGCAGACAAAGTGCAGCATCTCTTTCCAAACCTGCAGGGGAGAAAGTAATTGGCCAGTGAGAATTCCAGCAGGCCTGGTTTCCGTCCTCACACTCTTGGTTCCTGTTTGTGTCCAGGGACATTACTTGCACACAGGGGAGAATAGATTGAGGTGTTACTCATGGGTCTTTGTAGAGAGAATGTGCTCTTCCACTTAGCATTAGTGTAGAGCATAGACCAAAGATTTGCCAGTGAACATTCCTTGTTGTGAGGTCATAAGAGGTACCTGTCTGCAGATCTTGCAAACCAGCTCTATGCTCCTGAATACTGTCCACTGTCCTGGAGACTCTTGGCTGATGGGGTGTGAGATATACGTGTGGCATTTCTATTTCTGAATGCTTTTTTTGCTATTGCTCTCTCCAGTACCATATTTAAAAGGCTCCTGGAGTGATTCCAGAGAGAGAAAAAATTGCTGTATCCATTTTTTTCTTCCTGGGGCTGTCCATTTATGACAAGATTTTCATGCACACCTGTTACATACACACTCCCATCAGAACAGGACCTATCTTCCCCTCATCTGATCTCTTTCAGCTCCCATGTTACTCCTGAGTATCATCAAATTTGGCCATCAAGTGTTACCCTCCCATGCCTCTGGGCCATCCTTGAGGGAAATCACCTCAGCACCATCATCTATCAGTAGTAGTAGATTTTTGGAAGTAGTCTCTTAGCAATAATACTTTTAAAGGTCCCTCCCACCCCTCAAAGAGATAACGTCTCATATTTATTACTTGTCCTCAAATTCTGAGTGTCAGCCCCTGAATCAAGTCAGCTATAATCGAAATGTGCTGTTACTGTTAACCCTCCCCCCAGATTTTGAGCATCATAGCTCTGATGATTATGAAGATTATAAAGACTAAGGTCCTAGTTTCCTTGAAGCTTAAATTGTGCATATATTGCATTTTTATATAAATACTATAATGTGTATTGATTATATAGATAAGTTATTTTAAGGTGCTTTTTATTTAATTCTAATAAGTATAATAGGCACTAAAATGAAACTCGACTGGGTACTATTACTGAAACAATTTGACTCAAATCAATAGTTTTGCATGCTCTTTAGTTCTTTTTCTGTCTTACTTCTTTTACCAGTTCAGTGGGTAGCTCTGAGTTCTGGCTTTTCCCAGGCAGCTGCTTGATGATACAAGTGAGGTGGATCATCAGCAGTTTTGCCTGGACACTAATGACTCTAAAAGGGTGTGTATTTAACTCTTCTTTTTCATATTAGATCTCTACCTTGTATTCCCCCTTGCAAACCAGAAACTACACTTTTTTCTCTGGAAAGACTTCTCACTGTGCTATGCGCTTAGGAACTGCACGGTCCCGTTGCCATGCTGTGGCATTTGAGACTCGTTGTCACCTAGGGGCTGGTTTCCCATGTTGTCATCCTTGCTAACACTGGGATCTCAGATGTTTGCAGAACATTTCTATTCATAGTGGTTCTTCAAAGAAGGGCTAGCATTTTTGCCTTCGTACCTAGAGCAAAGTAAACCTAATTGCTGAAGAATCAATACGTACTTTTTGTACATTCCCAGATTTGAGCCAGAAAATACCTACAGATATCTACAAATGTTTTCAACCAGTGTTTGAGGTAGCTCTTTAATCCTCTTCTCAGCTTTTGTCTGTTCTGACTTTTCATCCAATAAGCTGTAAGTGAACTACAATCTGCATTTCTAGCATACAATTCTCTTCCTGCTCACGGAGGTGGGGGACGATAAAGTTTTCTCGCAGACATTATGGGCCCTCTCTTAGCTTTTAACTGTTGTTTTCCCCTCTTGTTGATGAAGAATTATTGACATCACAAAGATTGCCATCCGTGATAGAAAGGACTTGATTTAAAGTCAGAAAATTGTGCCATTTCTTTAGGAAGGGGAATTTATGACATCCATGTCCTATTATTGGCCCTAACTTCCTAAAGAAGAAAAAGGGTGAATGAAAGCTTATGTTACTTTTATGAAAGTATCACTGATTTCCTTTGGAAAAGAAACTCTGCTTCACTGTTTTTCTACCTTTATTTCTCTGCCGTCCTCGTTTTTCTTCTCTGAAAGTTCTAAATAAACTTTAACTGAACCTTGTTTGGTCTTGCTCTAAAATTTAGCCTCTTTCTAGAGCCCAAGACCGAAAGGGAGTGCTTCATGCTGAGGGGCTCAAGTGAGCTGACTCTACAGCAGTGGTTCTCAACTAGGGGCAGATTTGCCCCCAGGGACATATTTGGCAATGTCTGGGGGCATTGGGTTGTCACAGCTGGGGGTGATGGTATGCTATTGGCATCTAGTGAGTAGAGGCCAGGGGTGCTGCTAAACATCCTGCCATGTCCAGGACAGCCCCCCAAACAAACAGTGGTCCAGCCCCAGGCACCACTAGTGCTGAGGTTGAGAAACCCTGCCCTACACCATCCAAGCCTACCAGTCTGCAGAGCTTGGCTCTGTCCTTGTTCTGTTCAGGCTGCAGTACTGCAGGTATGAATTCTTCAATATCACATTCTCTTAAGAGTCTTCTACCACTGTTCCTGAATCCTTGGAATCCTGTTGTTCGTTTCCATTGTCTTGGGCCTGCTAAAAGGTGCATACTTTGGGAGGAGACCAGAGTTACTTTATAGGTGTTGGAGAACTTAAATTCTAGGTTAGCATCCTTAGAAAATCTTTCATAGAGCCACGAGGCTTATATTTAGAAGCAAGCAACAGCCTGGCAGATTGGCATGATTTTTACCAACTGCTCAAAGGCATCCATGGCTTTTAGCTGTGTCTCCCAAAAGAAAATGTCTTTGTTTTTTATTCAAGTCATTTAATAGCTCTTTACATATATTAGCATATGGCAGACCAATTAGAAGCAAAAAAGTCTGTATTGGTGGTTGTGATGTGGCTGTTATAGAAGTATTTGTGCTGTATGCTTTGGTTAAATCTGTTTTAAAACATGCTTTAAGATTCACCTTACGCAGTTGTACTTTACTTCTAAGCTCAGAGCTATGCTGGTCAGTCTCTAGTCATGCCGTGTATTATAAAGTATGTTGTGGTTGTAGAGTTAGCCAGTTTAGCATGTTCCTAATCTGAAAATTAGTGGACTATACTAGGAAATGCTATCCCATTTTCCCTTTCCAGCCCCTCTTAGTTAAGATCATAGTATCCTCACTTCTTAAACTAGTCTTTAGAGTAAATAAGGAAAAAAGCCATTTATTTTCTTCTAGCCATGTATTATTGAGAATGACTCATAGTGTACAGCTTTTTTCAAAGGCCAGAGGATTACTTTTCAAGTGTGTAGAAAGATCTGTCCATTTCTGTTCACCTAGGACCTGGTGGTGACTGAACTCTTTCAGCAAGGGCAGTGGCTCAGTGTGATTCAGTGCTGGAGCTCGGCTGGGACTCAGTAAATCTGCACGTTCTCTGCTGGTCAGAACATATTTCCTGGAGAGCATTGCTTTTCTGCCTAGAAGTTTGTTACCTCCTGCATGATAGTGGGATATTGAGCTCTGTGTGGGTTCTAAGATCCACAGACTGATACTTTTGTGAACTTGGAATGCGGTAGGGTACACTGAACCAAGTCAGAAAATAGTGAGATATTTCCTTGCCTCCTTCAGTTCATCACTAAGAAAGTGTGTAGGCAGAGAAAACTTATTTATAGTTTAAACAAACCACAATTCTGGTTTTGTTTTTTTTTTTTTGAAAGGGGACATAGTACAAAGGTACAAAAAAAAAGATAGTACAAAGGTTTTAAGTGTCCTGTCACGAATTCCCAGGGCCAGAATCTCACCAGAAAGTCCTCTCAGACTTAAAAGCCTGGCTTACAAAAATAACCAGAAACCAAACTTGTAAGCAGTTATGATTTCTTCCTTTTGCTTCTTGACCAACTGAGATACAGAATATCTTGAGGTCTGGTTCAGCCGATGAAAAATTCTGTCTCTGAAACGATGAGTAAGAAACCATGCAAGAAAATGAAATCCCTCATCTATCTGCATACATGTGATGTGGGAGAAGTGGGGTGGCTAGGAAACTCTGAGCCTGCTGCCCCCTTTGATTCTATCTTTTCTTTGTGAATTGAATGTACTATACAAATGGTAGGCTTTCGTGTGAGCCAGTTACTACATGAATCTTCATTTCCCACAGTGGTTTGTTCATTCATCAGCGTTAGGCTTGGTCTTGGCTCCACTTTCTCCTCTCCGGGCACTGACCCCACCTTTCTGTGTACTTACTGTAGGCTATTAAATATGATCATGACCTGCCTTGCATTTTCATTCATCCACTGTTTACTCCCAAATTTAAGGGAAGTTTGTCTCATTTTGCCAGAAAAAAATTGTAATAGTTGGCACGCTGGATTTGTAGGACCAGGAAAACTGCAGCCGTGAAACTAGTTTCACTTCCAAGGCCCTTCATTTCCCACAAGGTTAAGCTCTCGAAACCCCATTTGATCCTTGGGTCCTATTTTGATCCTCCTTTGGAATCTGAAAATCAGTCTCCATGTTGTATGCAGATTAGAAGTTGCCTTGTTCGTTATTCTTCCAACACAGAGTATCAGGGAGAAAGAGGCCTTATCTGTTCCTCCATCCCCTCTGTTTTGACAGACTGCTAAGAATTCCTCAGGACTTCCTTTGGTTGGGGATTTTACTTTCCCAAAAGTCTGATCTGATTTCTTTCAGGTGTAGACAGCTTGTCCTAGTCCTCTGCTTCAGGTCTAATCAGAAGAAACCCAGGAATAGAAAAGGTAAATGCCTTGACTTTTGTCTCTGTTGTGGGGACTAAAGTGTTTATTGCCAGAATTGTCAAAAGCTCCAGTTTGAACTCTGTAGAGTTTCATGGAAAAACAAAACGAAAAGATGCTTACCCTCCCGGAGAATGTGTAAGTTCTCTAGCACGGCTTAGGTTTTCCAAAATGGAAAGCAAAGCTTGCAGAGACCTGTTTTCTCTAGAGATACACAGTTGATTCTGGCCCTCAGTCTGTTTCCCTCCCCTTGTTTACTCTTTGGTCACCGATAGAGTCAGGCTAGAGGGGTAATACGGTGATTAAAAGAAGTAAATTCTCACTGTAAACTTGGATTGATTAACAAAAACAAACCAAACAAAATCATTGCCCCAAATTTCTATCTCCAAGAATTGCTTTGTGCCATTTTGAATTCAGGTAGTTATTCTGTATATACTTAGCTAACTATTCAGAGTTTCTTCAGTCTCTTGTAAGCTTGAAGGTGGTATCTCAGAAGACACAGGGCAGGGTGACATTGAGACCCTGTTCATTCTTAAAAATAGGGATAAGCCACAACGATGTGACATCTAGTATGTGGTAGATGAAGATTCATTGGAAATTCTTAATTGCACAGACTTTATAATCCATTATATAAAGTGTAATTCCATACTTTTTACTGTGGCAAGGGTATGATGTGATTGTTAATCTTTTTAATTTTTGAATCCAAAATGAATTTAAAGTGTTGAATACTTAAATCCTCACAAGTGAATTATGAACCATTTGTAAGGTGTTTCTATAACTCTTTGTATCATGTGTTGGTACATCTTATCAAGTTTTTTCTGGCATGTAATTCCATTCTAAACTTATGTAAAATTTCTATTGTTGCTGTAAATATTACACAAATATCTACTCCGTGATAACCTTCATTATCAGCATGAAATGGTTAATTTTTACTGAGCACAATGTATTTTTGAATGGATCTTCCCAAATGTCTTTAATAAAATGCAGATTTTGCACTGACTGATGTGACTGCCAGGCCGTCCCAATCTTGAGCACTGTGGTCCTTCCACGTTTAACTGCGTTTTAGTTCCTTCTTGGGAAGAAAGAATGCATTCAAATTCAAATGAGGGATGATGGGCCTTTGAGGTTGGAAGCAAAATAGCAAAACATTAAAAGAAACACAACAAAACCTGCAAGTGTTGATTAAAGACAGAACAAATTGTCCCCAAAGAAATTAATGTAAAACAAGGCAAATCCTGTAACTTAACAATGTTGATCTTTGTTTTCCTATTTATAAAGCTTTTTTCCCCTTATGGCATTTTGAAAACTTTGGTTTCTTTTATACTTGAGTGTTGTCACCTTTGCACGTCGCTAGATACTCATGTGGTAGTTTGAGGAGGATGGGAAGAGAGGCCGATCTTGTGCTAGGTGCTATGGAGAAAGCAAAGATGGACAGCGTAATAAGGGTTTTTTCATTCTAGAGGAGAAGTGGGCAAGCTTTTTCTTTAAAAGGCCAGATGATGAATACTGGGGGCTCTGTGGCCCATCAGGTTCCTGTCACCACTACTCAGCTCTGCCTTTGTAGTGCAGAAGCTGCATAGATGATATGTAAATCGGCGAGTGTGGCTGTGGTCCCATAAAACTTTACGTATAGACACAGGCCATAGTTTACTAACTCCTGTGTTAGGCCCTCAGTTTCATCATTTAGGGTAAGACCAACCAAGTACATGTTCAATCAGGAGAGAAAGAACTTAAATTTTGTGCTAACATATATAAAATATTCTCCAGTTTTCTTTGTCTTTCTAAACAAAGGGTAGAAGCTAAAAGTCAGTGCTTTCCGTTCTTAAAAGTACTGTGTCAATCAGTTTTTCACTCTGTCTCCTTAAGTGACATGGAAACTTATGGCCTGTGCTTTAAACTATACACTTAACAAGACTGAATCAAAGTATTTGGTGCTTACACTTTTTAATGTTCATAGCACTTACTATGGCCAGGCACAATGCCCAAGTGTTTTGCTTTTATTATTATTTTTTTTTTTCACAACAACCCAGTGAAACAGGTACTATTATTATCCCCTTTTTGTAAATGAGGAAACAGATTTCCATACTTGACATTAACTTGCCCAAGGTCACCCAGTTTGGAAGTGGCAAGGCCAGGATTTGAAGCCGAATATGTTAATTGTAAAGCCCATATACCCTTCAAAGTCACTGCATCTCCATGTATGGAAACTGACATGGAGCATAACGGTGGTCATGGTCAGTATTGTTTCTCTTTAGTAATTCAGGTTTATTCAAGTAACTCCACATTTCAAATTTCAAAAACAGTTTCCAACACAGAGTATATTAAGAACTTTGCCTAAAGTTTACTCTAGGTGCAGAAATAAAGACAACTTAGTCAAGTGAAGGAAAGGGTAACAGAAATGGCTATCTACACTGATGGAATAAGTATACTAATTAGAGCAGGCAATAAGTCCCCACAATGTATAACATATTCATTTTTTTTTTTTTTTTTTTT